GTTTTGTTACTATTCACTCCACTGTTTCTAATCACCCCATTTTACGGTAATTTAAAAAAAAGACCTAAAAACACGCTTTTAAAGAACATCGAACTAAAAAATTAAAAATATTTTTCAAATAAGCTTAAAACAATAACGAACGAAAAATACAAGTATTATTGTGAAAAAAGCGTGGGCGCTTTGTACCATATTTTTTGTATATCAAGCGCCCGACACTTTGGATTTGGATGTTCACACGTTCCATAACACACGGTATAGCCTTTTCCCACGTATTCGTCCTCTTTGTGTTATAATTAAGTGGTTATCCTAGAATTCCTCAACACATAATAGTACAAATTACAACACAGGTAGCGCGGGACGAATACCTTTGTACGGCATAAAGTGTCGCTTGTATTAGACACTAATCCCTGATTTACAAATTGAGCATCTTTAGTAGTTCGGTCGTGTAAAAGCCAGGATTATCGCGCAATTTATTATGTGTCGAAAAGGATTTTCTATTGTAGTAACTATATTCGGACATAATTTCAAAGCTGTTTTATTGAGGATTTGAAAAAATGACTAATTCTTCAACAACGTGAATCTCTTTTCGGCAAGCGCGTGTATTTGAAGTAATGACCCATCAGTGGGCGAAGAAAAGACTGTTACATTCATGAAAAATTAGTCATATATTGAAAATATCATGAATATTCAGTTTAATCTTCATAAGTGATAATAGAAATTGGAACCTCTGGCATTGTAACGGGTCTTCCAACAAGGATTTCCGAACTTTGATCTGTCAAATTAGTTGTCATTTATTCTGCCTCTTTTGTCAAATCACAATTTTTTTTTGTTACCTTGGGAGCTGTCTGACTTGTCCATTCAGTCCAAGTCTCCAGAAAACACTGCAGCCTCTTGGGCTTATTGCGTTTATTCTCCAATCTTCTCATGACACCCAGTCTCGTTCCCTGTACTAGTTTGTACAGGTTCCGTGTTGGATATTCGTCATATTCTTCTGGACGTAATTTTGTACGTCCATATATTGCCTTCCTCCTGTGATTCAGTGCCTCAGATTCGCATAAGATGTGTAGAGCTGTTTCTTTCCCTTCGTTGCATAATCTGCAGCTGAGGTCTCCGTTGTACGGCCCCTCCGTAGAGGATACCGTTGTACGGTATCCTCTAAGCGGACAATGACCGGTTAGTAACCCTGTAATTATTCTGAGCCGATCCCCACTATATTGAAGTAGTTCTTCGGTTCTTTTCTCGGACGGTTCCCTAATGAAGATTCTACTGTGTTTGTTGCCAGGTTAGTATAGTAGCTAGGACAGTTCCAAATCAAAACCCCATGTATTTTCTTATGGAGGTTCATTCTGGCAATTTTGGATCCTGCGACCAATCAGAGCGCTCCAAATTGTCACGTGACCCAGACGCATCGTCGCGAGTACACCAATCAGAGCGCTCCAAATTGTCACGTGACCCAGATGCATCGTCGCGAGTACACCACACTGGCGCCACCTATGAGTCACTAGCTGAACTATCTATTGGTTGAAGAAGGACACTGTAAACAC